CACCCCTTAGCCCTTCTCATACCCGAAGTGGTCACCCTTTTTCTCACCAGCCCCCATCTCAGCCCCTTTCATCAACCCTCTCCTCTGTGCCCGCTCCCCTTTTATCCCTCTGGGAGATGACTAAGGAGGGCTCCTCCCTTCCCTTTATGATTTATGTCCCTTTCTCTACTAGTGACCTCTACAGTTGGAAAAACCAGAACTCATCCTTAGCCAGAATCCCCAGGGGCTTATTTCGCTTTTGGAGTCTGTTTTCTTCACTCACCAGCCGACTTGGGATGATTGTCAACAGTTGTTACAAACGCTCTTCACATCAGAAGAGAGAGAAAGAATTCGAGGTTTGGGCTGAAAACTGGTCCTGGAACCAGATGGAGAGCCCACCTCAGACCTGAACTGACAAGACTATATTTTCCCTTTGACTTGACCCACTTGGAACCCCAACTCCAATCAAGGTAAGGATTCTCTCGATTGGTATCGCCAGCTTCTTTAGGGGCTATGAGGGCAGCAGCTAGAAAGCCTACTAATTTATCTAAAGTCACTGAGGTTACTCAGGGATCTGAGGAGTCTCCTGCTGCCTTCCTTGAATGCCTCCAAGAGGCCTACTGGATCTATACTCCTATAGATCCTGAGGCTCCTGAGAACCAAAGGGCCATAAATATTGCCTTCGTGTCTCAATCAGCCCCAGATATCAGAAAGAAACTCCAAAGGATGGAAGGATTTGAGGGAAAAGTGTTAACAGAGTTGGTAGAAATAGCACAAAAGGTATTTAACAATAGAGAAGATCTGAGAGAACTAAATAAACGTATGGCCAGGGTCCTCATAGCAATGGAAAAAAAAGATGGACTGACAACTAAAAAGACCCCGACGCCCCCAGACTAAACAAAAGAGGTTAGCCTTTGGCAAAAATCATTGTGCCTATTGCAGAGAGGAAGGACGTTGGAAAAATGAGTTCCTGAAGCAAAAACAAAAGGAAAGTAAGAGCCAAGTTCTGACAGCCGCTCCTGAAATGGACTGAGGGAGTCAGGACTCTTCTTTTGGCCCTCAGGAGCCCAGGGTAACTCTACAAGTAGCGGGGGCCAGCCGGTCGATTTTGTAGTGGACACAGGGGCCACCTATTTGCTTTTACAGCAACCTGCGGGCTCCCTGTCAGAAACAAAGACCCGCATCCAAGGGGCCACGGGGAAAACTAAATTGTACCCTTGGACCAAAACTAGAATCGGGAATCTGGGGGCTAAACAGATAACTCATTCCTTTCTTGTCATGCCTGAATGCCCCTACCCTTTGATCGGCTGGAACTTGCTTCATAAGTTGCAGACTCAAATTTCTTTTGGGGAGGACTCTACCCAAATAACCTTTGCCGCTAAACCTGAATTTGACCCCCGGCCCTCAATGATTCTTTTCACATGTCCCCTGATGGAGGAACATTTATTGCTAACTGAGGAGGAACCCCAACCCAGTTCTGATGTCCTGCTTTTAGCCTGGAAGACAGAGATTCCTGAGGTCTCGGCAGAAAGCAACCCCCTGGGTTGGCAATTCATCAACACACCATTGTGGTATCTCTAGTACCAGGAGCAACTCCTATCTGTGTCCATCAGTACCCATTAAGCTTACAGGCACCACTGGGGATCAGTGTTAACATCCAAAGACTCAAAAAGGAGGGCATTACTGGTGCCTTGCAAGTCGGCATGGAACACTCCACTGCTGCCGGTTCAAAAGCCAGGAACTACAGACTACCGGGCAGTCCAGGACTTACGAGAGGTAAACAGCCAAGTGGAAACGCTTCATCCCACAGTCCCCAACCTGTACACCCTCCTGAGTCTTCTCCCTCCAAGCGGAATCTTCTACACTGTGCTGGACCTCAAGGACGCCTTCTTCACTCTTTGTT